TGCGAAGTCAAACCAATGCGCGGAAGGAAAGGACAACGAAGTCTTTGGGCTGGTCTTAGGATAGGGACAAGAAGGGGTGGGGGGAATATAGCTGAAACATGTTGGGTATATTGCGGTAGTATCTTGGCTGGTCTGCATCGTGCAACGAGTAGTTTGATCAGCTGGGTGGGGTGCAATTTCGTTGCAGAGAGGGTTATTGAGCATCGGCAGCACATTGTTTTGGCCTACAGTACTTGCCATTTATATTCACCCGGTACTTGCGTGAAGGCGGCATGTACCTCCGTGCCAAAACATTATGTTGAGGAAGCTGATGTGTACCGGCAACATGCGCTCCGTGGTAGAGCTGGGCTCCGGCGTGTCTCAAGCGATTTTTCTTAAGAATGTCACCCTCGAGGTGGCACGGTCAACCGTCGTGCGATCGTTCTTGAAAGGTGTTCATGTCCCATGTTATCGCAGTACCGAATTAAATACCGGAGTGGAAAATGCAAATAGATCACTTTGTTTTTGTTTTTCCACCTTACGTTTTCCCTCCTTTGTTTTGTTCTTTCGCCTTACGTTTATTCCGTCTTCCTTCTCTGCGTAGCCGGTTGATTTGATTCATGCTAACGGCGAAGCCTACCTTGTTTCGTGTTATGTTATTGTTCAATCCGAAGTGCAAATGGGTAGATCACTGCTGACATATTGGCATATTACTCACGTGTTGCTGTGATTTGAAGGGGAACAAGAACACCTTTCTCACATGCTGGTAACGACATCCGCATGCTCTGTGTCCACCGCTAAAACTACCACACCTCTTCCATACAACGCATGCACTTCGTTGCATATTAAATGGCAGCAGTGCTCGAATTTTTTTAGTTGATGGCAGTCAACAAGACTACCCAACATTGTTGTATTATATCTGACAATAAGTTTCCGTCTAAATGCATTGAAGCATGCTCATTGCGGTAACCTAAATAACTCGAGTACTTCGACCACACGGTTTGTTTTCCGTCCCCTTAATCGGGACCCCTGACATCTTAATCAGGCCAAGGAGGAGTTCATCGCGAGTGGACTTCAACCCGCCAATGAGCGCGCAAGGAAGCGGGCAGGTACGAGCAAGTGGGCACTTGCTTGCGGTAGGTGTTACGGCTAGTCATGTTGTTGGTCCAATCACCTAAGGACCTAACTTCTACTGTGTACGTTTTGCCATATTCTGTCAAGGTTGGTACCGGTGTTGTACATGTACATGTCGTTCCGTTACCTCCAGCCCCCCAAAAGTGATTAGTCCTTTGTCAAAACGTTCTCACGAGCCAACACATGGCATGCCGTCTTTTTGTATGTGATCTCTGTTCGTCCTGACAGAACTGGCTGTGCGCTCAGGAGCATGCTTCGGGTCGGCGGTGCAGCGTACGAAAGCCCTTCAGATTCAGGTGGCTCACCATCAACCGGGGAAAAGCGCTGACATCAATGGCATCGTGGAAGAGTATGGCCTTTCGTTCGACATCCAACCCCTGGAGGAGGACCCCACGGCGACGGTGCGCAGAACACACGCCTTGGGAAGCAACGCCGGGCCTTACTACGGGCCAGACACCCTGCACGACTGCAACCACGGGGATGACTGCCGCCAAAAGTACGGTGGGATAGACACATGCGCCCAGCTGTCGGGGGTCAACCTCAACGCGCACGAGCAGAACCATGCGAAGAAGAAAAAGTTTCTGCACATGTTGAATGTCATGAAATTTGACCGCTTTACGTTCATGGTAACTCTGATCAACGAGACCGAGAATGAGGCAATGAAGCGCCGGTCGGTAGCAAACATGGTCAAGCGTGTTCGAGGCCATGGCTTGGAAAAAGTACAGATTTGCCAGGCTGAGGTTTGGTTCTGCGGCAGATGCTTCTGCGAGAACTCTCTAATGCGATCATTCGACCAGTTCGGCCGGGTCCGGCTGACCTTTATTCAATCATAGCCATATTTTTTGGGGGGCTCGGATGTTGTTGTACTATGTCTCAGATGCTGTGGTACGGTGTTCGCTTGGCTGACCCGCTTGCGCCATTCCGTCGTTTCACCCTGTTAACAGTGGTGGGTAGAGTTCGTGTTTTTTTTTTCCCCTCCTTTTTCGGTTGATGGGGTGTCGTTGGCTGTCTAGGAGTATGTAGTTGCACGGTTGGGGGCAGTGGGGGGTTAGATGCACTGGTTTTCCTTTTGGGGGATCCACAGATTGATTTCGCTAACCATAGGGATGCTTTAAGAACTATTTTTTCAGCCTTTCACAGCACTTCCAGTACTATCGAATGCTCACTGTTTTTTTGTTTTTCCATGAGCAGCACGATGTATCTTTGCGTCTCCAAGGACAACCAGACTTGTTCCCAGATGTGAAAGTAGTGAATTGTCGAAAACACTTTCTTGATCCTGAATCGAAAACAAGATTGGTTGGCAGACCTACCATTGCCTTCTGCCCATTGCGTCGCATCCAGATGAGGGTAGAATTATTTTGTATTCTGTCCACGAAAGTTGTCTGATGCCCACTAGCCGACTTGGCAATCATCTTGAGGTTGCCTTTTGGCATTGAATACCATTTCGTCCTGGACTTGTGGTACGTACGTGCGTGCTGCTTCGAGAGGTCCAATAACCAGCTCGTGGAGTTAGTAATTGCTACGGTTTGGGCATGCGATGGGGTCTAATCAAGTCAAACACGCATGTGCCTACCACTGGACAGAATACGCCCCACATAAAATGCTACCCCACCTATGCTACTACAAGGTGACCCTTCACTACATTGAAGGTCGTGTTGCCCTAACCACGATGTTCACTTGCATGTTTTTCGCGCTGTATTTTTCCTCGCAGTCTTTTGTTTCCGTTCCCCCCTTGTAACCCAAAGTTGAAGAACGGGCTATCGGCCAGACTATCTCGGCTGCCTCTCTCCTCTCTCTCCTCTGTTTCCTCTCTCTCCTCCTGCAACTCCCCCTTCAACCAAGTTGGAGTAGAGGAAGAGAAAATACGGTTTGCTTACATGACACGACTCGCTCACACCTGGAAATATCTCATCAACTACAACCTTGCCCAAAAGCTCTTGGGTTTTCTCGGTAGTTCGACATGGGAATCTGTTGAATATAGTATCTACCATTTGCAAAATATAAGTCGGGCAGCAGATCATCTGCGATGTGCGCCTGCAAATGTAAGCAGTGGCCTACACCTGCCTAGACTATACCGTAGGTGACACAAGATACCATACCCCCTGGACCGATTTTCAAAGCTCGATTAATCCACGACGAAAAGGATGCGTGCATGAAACGACTGTTTCAGAAAGCTCTCGACAAGACGGCTTCAACGCCGCCGTTTCCGGCGCTGCCACTCTTCTGCTGTGTAAATATCGAGCTTGGAAAATCGGTCCAGGGGGTATGATATCTTGTGTCACCTACGGTACCTACATGAGCGTAGCTTCGGTCTTAACCTGAGCCGGAGATGGGTAGGTTTTCGACACGTTAAAGGATGACTTTGGGGCAAACGCTCTTCTTCAGATGTCGTATTGCTTTGTTGTTGCCTGTGGTTGGACGTCGGAATAATATCAAGATACGGCAGATGGAAGCAGCACAAAGCAGCAAGCACATAGATACTGCTACAGTCTGGATGCTGATGCGGCCGTTGAGTGGCAATCGTTTTTTTTCTTGTGTGTCAACACAGTCAGCGGTTCCGGTCATCTCGAAGCTGTGCAAAGTAAGCCTAGACCTACATGCACCTAGATGCAGCTAGATATTCCACGCTCTTCGTACATGAGCAGTACACGCGAGCACGCCTTACCCAACGGCAGGCGCGCACATACAAATTGTTCAGAGCACGAGCAGGACGCGCTCTTTGTATTGATTGCTTCCGTACGGTTTCGCGGTATTCTTCTCCTTCCCTGCACACCATGAGTCTCCTGTGCGCGCAGAAACTACTCCACAGAACACACGAACAGGCAGGCTCTGCAAGTCTGCACAGCTCTGGCTCAGTCCGCAAGCAAGGTGTACCTCCAAACCGTCAAGCAAGAACTGAGGCGCGCGCGCGCCGACAGCACGGCATGCTCTCCGAACCTTCCGGAAACCCCACCCCCGAACCCCCTAAAGATCCCTTCGCACGATCGGTAATCCGACCTCGTGTTGTATCAGTACGGACATACGCCATACGAAGGTACTGGGTAGCGAGAGATCGGAACGTTTGTTGATGTGAAGCAACAACAACAACAACAACAACAAGGTGTCACCACTCACTTACAATAGAGCAGTCGAAAAAAAAACGTCGTCAAGAAGCGTGCTCCGATGATGTGGCTACCGTTGTGCACTCCCGAGTTCTGGCTACCGCTGGGAAGGTGTATGTAGTACGTAAGGATGTGGCCCGCTGTCTTCCTCCTCCTCTTTCGTATCGCAGGAACAAGAACTTCCGAGGCAGCTGCATGAACCCCGATCCCCGGCGGTTTGCGTTTTTACGCAGGCCAACGATTTCATAATTTTTTTTCTCGCCGCACGTGATGCAACCTGCCCCACACACACCAAGCCTCTCCCATTTACCCAACGAATTCGACTCGCCGAAAAATTCAAACACCATGGCTCAACTGCTTCGCGGGTCCAACATCAGGTAAGCCCTGGGCAGCAGCAGCAGCAGCAGTAGTAGCAGCAGGCGGCGTGCGTGTGGTGCGAGACAGAGAGGTTGGCATGGAGATTCGACAACGGGAGAGCGACGCGTGATGGGTGTAATTTCGTTCTCTGGCGCGCATGCCCTCCCCACACACCGCCGTCGAGGGGGTGTGCTGCCGCCGCTTGGCGTGCTCGCACCCCGCACTCACGGGTACCTGCGGCAAGCGTCCGGCAGTGTCTGCGTGATTATTGGCTGGCTGCTGTGGGGATCCGGGAAACGGAAAGAGGTAGCTATGCTGCGTGCGAAGGAAACTTGAGTTGTTCACGCACAAGGGTGGAAGGGCAAGGGTAGACCTCGCCGCCCATGTACAAGTATAGCCCCCCCGGAATGCGCGCAAACTCTCTCGAAGTGCGGATGCATCCGCCCGCACTGCTCTAATTCCAGCAGCGTAGACATGACGTTGTAGCTGGACTCGCACCACCTGATGTCGCATGCCGCTGCTGCGAGGCGGTTCCACCACCCTAGCGTGCGAGCTAACAAGAGCACATCTTGTCTCAGCCGGTGTGCTCTTGCAAGTAGTAGGCCTCCGTTCGACCTCAACCATTGTACATGGTCTGGTACACCTCAATTGGTAGAACTAACTTTCTACATGTTCTGCTCGTGCACTTTCTTGACACCTTTCGCTCTAAAATCGCAAGCGAGAAAGAGGGAGAGAGAGCACCCCTCTTGCAGATCCTAGCACACCGCACAGCCTAGTAGTCTATTGTGCATTTTGTGCGTGGGATTTCCAGGAGAAGGTTCACGTCGGGTGACGCGCTGACGTAGATGTCCTTGTAAGCACGTGTCACCTGTTGCGGAGAATATCAATCAAGTGCGCGACCACAGGTCCAAGAGAGCCTGTACTACGGGATATATGTGCAGCAGTTATCGCCCTCGTTCAAACGTTAGATGGTCAAGTGTTGCCGTTATCGCAAGCTCCATTCGGAGAGCTAAATATTGTAAGTGCATCCGGTTTTTCGTTGTTGAAGGCTTTCCCCACTGCGCTGCTGTCGGGCATCTCCTTACTTGGAACTTGGAGGTATCAAACATTTCCCCCGCGCATTTGTATATTTCAACTGGAGACCAAAGAGAGTTGTTTTGCTACTGCAGGCATTTTCTGATGTCAGCATTATCCCATACGCAACCCAGTCACCATAACAAATGGGACGAAAACACACACACACCACCAGTGGATGCACGGAGAGAAGCACGGCGGTAAGCCAGCTGTCGTTCTGCGCAAGACGAATCACTTCTCACGTACACAGCTTGGCCGGTCGCGCCCCCCTCCTCCGTATGTAGGTGTTTGCCCACCCACGAAGCTGCGTCTCCATCATAATTTTTCATGGCAAACGTGGCGGTTGTATGGAAGCGCATTCGTGTAATTGTGCGTGCAAGCTTCAGTACAACTGCAACCTTGGCAAAAGGGGGGGGCAGCCAGACAGCAGCAGAGCGTCGATTCCTCGGTGCTACACATGCTTACGCCAACCGGTATTATCGTCGTCCACTTTACGTGCGTCGGTCGGGATCAAGACGAGAATAACAGGCACTTGGCACACGTGTCGCTACTGCTGCTGTACAGGAGCACTACAGCAGCAGCTGTCCCTTCATGAACGGCCGGTCCGCTGAGTGTAGCTTGACAGGCTGGTGAAATAGGAGGATACCCTCAACAGACAGGTTCCGGGTGCCCGGTAGAGGGCCGACCATTCCCTTGACACTACGATGCGGGCAAAAAGGACTTACTACTGCTGTCATTCTAGCCGTGAAAATGTTTCGCGTGTTTCAGAGTGATTTACCCGTCTGAGCTATTGTGCGTTATATTTTTCCTTTTTTTTATGTATGCATCGCAGTTTTTGAAGTTTTGAAATTTCTAACGTCTACAGAATCAAGAGACGGCGATGCCACTGGTAACTTCGCCCTCGCTCTCTCCGCTTGCTGAATCTCTTTCTCGAGCACTTGATTTCCTCTTTCATCACTTCGGCCGGCTGCGCCTCTCTTCACAACAAACGCCCTGACCCAACATCCCCAATTGTATATGTTATCGAGCATGTTAACTTAAACTTAAATTTAAATAGAAAAAGCCTTCCAAGGCCACCGAGAAAGGAAAAAATCATACGGGTCGAAAGTACTTAACAACCCATGTAATAATGTTTCATTTGGACGAAAAAACATTTCTCTCGCTGCTGCTGTTGTACCATCTGCATACAGCCAAGACAAGATCTTCACCGAGTGCGATGAGTCCCGCCGCAAAGTCAAGATCATCTGCACCCTCGGCCCCGCCTGCTGGAGCGTGGAGACCCTGGGCGCCCTCGTGGACGCGGGCATGAACGTGGCCCGCCTCAACTTCTCCCACGGGGACCACGAGGGGCACGCTGGCACCCTCCAGCGCCTCCGCCAGGCCCTGTCCACCCGCCGGGGGAAGCACGTGGCCGTCCTCCTCGACACCAAGGTGCGCTGCTGCTGCTGCTGCTGCTGCTGCTGCTGCAGGAGCTGCACAGGGTGATGCTGCTTTGCTGCGGGAGTTGTAAGAAGGGTCATGATCAGTTTTGTGCACTTGTATATATACGTTCGACACCAGGGTGTGGTGGTTGTGCCGCTGCTGCAGGAGTTACAGAGGGTGATGTTGCTGCTGCTTGACTGCAGAAGGTGTAGAGAGTGATGCTGCTGCTTTGCTGCTTGGGTTGTACGGAGGTTGTGATCAGTTTTGGCACATGCGTTCAGTGGCCGGCTGTTCCGACGCTGTTGCTCGCGTTGGTGTTGGCGCCCGCGGAGCCGTCCGAAAAGGACGGTGGCAGCTGGTCGATTTGCGCACACGCCGGCGCCGCTGCGAGGGGACTTCTCAACCCTGTTTTATTGTTCTTCGTTTTGTTTTAGGTAATCCTCTACGCTTGTCTTGAACAGCAGCTAATGAAGCATTTCTCATTACATTTCTGTACTCATTGTGGTCCCTACGAGATAGCTGCTGTAGGTCAAGAAACACCCAGGGACTTTGAGCCTGCTACCCCGGTCTCCTTCCTTGCCAAAACCGCCGCAGGGGCCCGAGATCCGAACGGGTTTCCTCGCCAACAAGAAGTCGGCCGAGCTCACCAGGGGGCAGGAGCTGGAGCTCACCACCGACTACGACTTCCTGGGAGACAACACCAAGGTAAATTGAGCATATGCCTGGGTTAGACATGTGATCCCCCCGGAGTGAGCTTGATGAGAGCACAGCAGCAGTCATGAAGGCGAAAATTACGAGCAGGGAGCAGAACTGACCAACCGACCCACAGCTGGCTGGCTGGCTGACTTCCAGGCCACGGTGTGGCGTTCCGTTTTCCCAAGCTCACGAACAGCTGGCGTGTAAAACTGAGTGTCCTGTCTCGCGACACACCAGCCATTTTTCTCCCGTGTTTCGTCGTGGCCAACCTTCCCCTCCCCCCCTCCCACTCGCGCCCTCCCTTCCGCGATGCCCCCTTCTTGTCGCGTGAATCGATTCCCCCAACCGCCTCAACACAACACTAGCAACGGACTGAACAATGGGGGCGATCCTTGTCCTATCTGATCCTTGTCCGACCAATGCAGCACTAACAACGGGCTACCAACGGCGACCTACCCTGTCCTACCCTTATCCGTTCCGAACAGATCGCGTGCTCGTACAAGTCGTTGCCGACCAGCGTTAAGGCCGGCAGCAAGATCTTGGTAGCCGACGGGTCTCTGGTGCTCACCGTCAAGGAGTGCAAGGACACGTAAGGAAGTGGAATAGAAGCGCGAGCCGCCTGCTGCACCTTTCTTGTCTTGTTGTCCATGTCGGTCGGTGTTGGTGGCACGTAGCAATGATGGTCTAGATTTTTTTTTTCTTGGTTGGCTGTGTCGGTGTCGTCGAGGAACCGTTCTATGTTGCAGGGCTCGGCACGTTGTGTGAGCGGTGGGGGGGGGGGGGG